GCTCTCCCTGCATCTCTCCTTTGCTGCTGCGGACGACCTTTTTTTGGTTTTTTGGCGGCCAACCTTATTGGCACTAGTTTTTGACAAAACTTATAACATGTGCAATCAATATAAGGATTATTTTAAAAAAGATAGATAAATATGTGAGATAAAGTAAATTGAGATCTTATATTTAAAACTGAATTAAATTTCTAACTATATCTTATATTAAGCATATGAGGTAATATTTTAAAGGTAGTGGGGTTCAAAATTCCTAGAAGTTTTTTTTAAAACAAAAAAAATAAATTACAACCGGAGCTGCCGAAAATTTCACATTTGAATTGTCACCTAGCATCGCTTTGGTTTTGGCAAAATATGAAGCAAGAATCATTGCGAAGGCAACGGCATTTAATTGGTTTTTGGTTTATGGGTTGGTCCATTGTGGGGCACATTTTTTGCGCATTCAGTTTCTAAATGGGTCCCAAAGTGAATGATAAAAACTGAAAAAGAGGAATTGGTTTTTGGTTTCCTTTTTGACCGGGAATTAGTTCTTGTTTTACTAAAAAGAAAATCTGATTATTGATGAAATTTAGTCACGGCATTTAATTAGTGGCGGAATTTTCAATAATTTTTTTTGTCAGTAATGAACTATTTTCTTTTGTAGTGTTGGCTTCATCCATATGTATTAGTATAATTAATTTGAAAAACCAAATATTAAAACTATATGATCATTATTTCTGAAGTTTTAATCCTAGAAAAAAGAGCCGATTATGCTTCCGGAATTCTGGGCATCTTTTGAGCTGCTGCATGCTATATTGCTATTTGTGTTATATTATGACAATTCATTAGAAAAATTGCACACAAAAATGTTAAACCTCATAATGTGTGTTTGTGTATGTTAGCAACGTCAAATACAGAGGCGAATGCAAATAAGTAGTTAGACAGAAATATCTATTTCAATTAAAGATTTTGATCGATGATTATTGCTTCACAGATATATATTACATTGCACATTATGAGCTTGAAAGAGAATAGTAGTCTCTGCGTTGCGCATATCGCATATCATTACTAATAATGAAAGCAAGATGCTGAATTACTAAGGCAAAACCCAAATCACAATAACTAAATAGTTCCATCAAACCCAAATATGAGATTGTATAAAAAAAAAGTACAAATATGATAAGTCCAAACTTTGAATAGGTACCAGCTATGACCCCCTCTTTTCAATTGCATATTAATTTCCATTACTTGTGCCCTCACCTAGATTGTTATGAGAATGTCCAGAAGTAGTGGATATTGTTTGGTCGGTGTCGGTGTCGGACATGTGATCCGCTAAAACAGTCTCATTTGAGTACAGGGAAGGTTTTGGGGGCAGTTCAAGACTTTCCATATCATTTGCTTCTAACATCTCTATCACTTTGCTCATTGAAAGACGATCAACAGGTTTTAGCGGTATACACCAGAGTGTTATTATGATCATTTTTTTTTTTTTGCTAAATCCTTTTCTTCTTTTGTTAGATCCTCCATTTCTATATCTTTATCATCATCCAGTTGATCATAAATCCACAAGGTAAAGTAAAGTTGGCTTGAACATTCTGCATGTGGGTACAAGTTTCTTCTTCTCCCGGCCATTTCCATTAAAGCATTCCAAAACTATAAACATTTGCCTTATAAGACACTCCAATATTCTTGTAAAACAATTCAGGAGCCATGTATCCTATTGAACTTCTCGCTGCAGTCAAAGTGACAACACTATCATCAACAGCATATAATCTTGCCAGCCCAAAATCTGAAATCTTTGGAGTGAAACTATTATCAAGAAGAATGTTATGAGGCTTGATATCAAAATGCAATATTTACATGTCACAACCATGATGAAGATAAGCAATCCCATGGGCCACCCCTAAAGATATCTCATATATTTTGTGATAACTCAAGGAGATGCTTTCTTCTCTAGAAAAAATGTATTTGTCCAAAGACCCTCTGGACATGAATTCGTATATAAGAGCACGATTTGTTCCTTCTAGACAAAAACCAACAAGATGTACCGCATTAAAATGATGTATCCTCCCAAGTGCTGCCACTTCACTGATAAATTCTTGGCCATCAGCTTTGGATTTGCCCAATATTTTGATAGCAACTTCGGGTCCACTCCTAAACTTCCCTTTGTAAACAGTGCCAAAGCCACCTTCACCTAACTTATTCCTGAAACCTTGGGTCATTGTCTTCAAATCCTTGTAAGAGTACCTTATTGGAATGAGGTCATGAAGTCGTATAAAATCTTCCATATCTTCATACATTGATAAATGTCTCCTATGGCATTTATAAAGCAATAGCGCAAATAGGAATATGATGCCAAATAAAAATCTGGTTGTGATGATTGGCAAAACAACTCTTCCACTAGCTAGTCCTAATGTGATTGCAAGATTTGTTAGACTAAAATCATAGTGACTATAGTGATGGTAAGTACTCATCTTCACTATTTGCCGAAATCCTGCAAATATGTAGAGTTTCATAAATATTAGATGTTTGGTTATTCAAAAAAAGATAACTACACCTGGATCAAATATTTCATTTTCTCATTATGTATTACATTATGAATATTTCTTCTGGAAGTAAAGAATATTTTACAATAATCATAAATTGTATAACTGTGTTGGTTAAAAATAGAGTACCTTTTCATTTTCTTTCACTCTGTTTTAAATGGATATATAAAAGAGGGGTAACCATAATGGTGATGAGCAAATATATAGCTAATTACCAGACACATAAATATTGTGCAAATAAAATAAGGGCTTATCATCACCTAGGACTAACTCAAGTAGTGACAATGCTAGGAATAGGATGGAAAGATAAAAATATCGTTTAATCCTCATGATGTAACCCCCCCAAAAAAAAAAAAGACCAGCTATATTGTTTTAGTTAATTCATTACTAGTTTAATTTAATATATTAATTATTCGTTTTTAAAACTTTGAAACAAAGTTATGGGCAAATATGGAATAAATTAAAAGATTATAAATAAAAAAAATTAGACAGAATCTTACCTTTATAAATTCCATAGATATAATCTGCAAGAAAATTTAACAGAATAAGTCAACAATGTCAAGGGCGGCTATAAAAGTGAATAACAAAAAAAAAAAAAACGAACGGTGTTGCAGGTGAGAAGATTTTGTTTCGTAGAATACTCCAACTTGCCTTTTTTGTTTTGTTTTTTTTTTCCCCCAGCCCAACGCATCTTTTTTTTTTAATTATAGACTATTTTCTTTTTAAATTTACAAAACTACTTTTTTTTTTGGGTAGAAAGAACAAAATTATTGTTTATATTTTAAATAAGACCTCACACCCATAAATTTATTTGTCATTTTAAACGAATATCAAAGTTGGTACATTTTCAAACACCATATCCAAAAACTCAATCTGAGCTAATCCAACCTTTTCTTTTTTTTCTTTTTCTTTTTTTATGGAGAGCATGATCTTATATTGTTCAGCAAAAATAGTTGAGTTTTTTAATTTTAACATATGTATAATTCATTTTAATCACTCAATGTCATCTTTTTCCCCCTTTTATTGAAACATTTGGAAAGGCAGCCTTAATGGATGATTTCTTTTAGCAAAAGTAGCCTTAATGAATTATTTAAGGAAAAATACTATAAAATACCTGTTAAATTTCAAAATGATACATAGATAATGCTGACTATTTCTATAACGATTTTTACAGGTCAAATTTACTTTTTTATCATTTTAAAATTAAGCTGGTATTTTTTTATATCATTTTTCTTAATTTAAAAGGAGGTTATATTTGAAGCGTGCCCGAACTAAACTAAGCATTAACAGTAAATTATACCTTCTGCAAATATGCGCAGCTTCGATAGTGGTGCTACATCATGAAAACCGAAGAAGATTAAAAGATAAATAAGTAACTTTAATAAGCGTACTCCGGGAAGAAAAAAACATAACATAAGCATATAATATTAGCAATATTGACACAAACTGACCAAGAGAGGAAGTAATTTCTATTTAGTTTTAAAAAATAAAGGGATGACACAAAATCAAATAGAACCTTTCGCTTTCTTTAAATGAAGACAGAAAATAGATGGAAAAAAAAATAAACTTCTTATATAAGCTTTTTCTTTAAAAAAAATAAATAATATCCTTTCTATATATATACAGTTTATTAGGTTTATAATATACCACTTCTGGTTTTTAAGATAAGAGTTAACTGACTAATTTGAATAGATTAAAAAAACTAGTTCAGTTTATTATTTATAATAAATAGATTTTTTAAAAAAATATTCTTACTAATCAAGTGTATTGTTAGAACTACTATTATTACAAAGACTATATCTGAAAAAAATAGATAAATATGAAAGGTAAAGTGAATTGAGATCTTATATTTATAATCAAAATAAAAGTTAAATAAACTTTTGTATTAAGGACCGAAAGTAATAAAACATTAGTTAGGCTTTTCGCAAATAAAGAAATATTAATTAAGTCATTAAATATATTTTAAATTAATAAAATTATATATTTTATCCCCATGATTGGAAAATTCTCTTCCCCTTCCCCTCTTGTCTTTGTAACAGAATAAAAGTAAAACACTATCGTTAATTGCTTTGTTGAGCTCTTATATTTCGAGCCAAACTTTCCAAGCTGGAGTATGTGCGCGTGCATATAATCTGTAAATGCGTGAGAAGCTTGAATGTATGATAAGGGAAAAGTGACTTACGAGTTACGACAGCCGACGTTATCTATGGCCATGGGACTACTGCAACTAGTTTGACGACATTGGAAAGTTTGAGCATCACGGTGGAAACTGCAACCATCGTAATCGAAACAAGAAATAGCATCACAGCCTTGGTAAAACCAGTTCACCCAAGAAACTTCAAATCCATAGGAAAGCACTCTGTGGATATCAGAATAGGACTTGGCTCCTCCGCGTAGCAATAATGAGTCCCAATCTGGGCTAATGGCGGCCACAAGTGTCACTCGACACCCTGATTTCCAGTCCTTGCTCAGTAAGTCTCCAGCAACAGCATACACATGGCCTTCTCCTTTTTCTCTGGACTGCAAATTCACGCAGGGAGACGTATCCACGTACGCTGCGTCGTCCCTCACTGGATCGCTGCACTTCAGGTACACCATGTGTTTGAATATAGTTTCTGATTCAGGGTAATCGATATAGGTAAAGTCGTCGGAGTAGCTGAAATTGGATTGGGATAGGAAATAATGAGGAAGGGAGGAGCAATCGCCCTCCTGAATGCCAGGATCTACGAGTCGGATTGTGAAGTTTTCGTAGTTTATTCCCAGCACTCTGTATGCTCCCTTGTACAGATGAAGGAGAGTGACGTTGTTTTCGCAGGCTAACTCGAATTTGAGGTCGCCGGAGGAGGGTGGGTCATCTCGTAGTCGAAATGGATACGAGATGTTTGTGATAATGCCGCACCTAGATGGACTACAGGATTTGTTCTGAAATTGATTACTGAGAACTGCATCCGTTAGAAGCAGAGTGAACCACACTAAATACCAACACCCCGAGCCTTTCTCTGTGGCCATCTCTCACAATAATATGGAGCCGCTACTCTTCTGATTTCTGAACTCTGAGACTCCCCGTTCACTCCATGACTTTTCTTCTCAACTCAATTCCATAGTATTTACGTATTTATCATACTATGCGAGTAAGCTTTCTTTACGCCGAGAACTTTTTTTTTCTTTTGCCAAATTGACTTGCAATATCTGTTTGACTGGATGACTAAAATTTTGAGGGCCCATTAGGCATGTCTCTGACTTCAAGGAACACACAAAAATATTTACGGATAGCCCACCACAGGACTTGAACTAAATATGACTCAAATACTTACAAGTAACCAACTAATATTTTTGTTGGCTAAAAAATTGAGAAAAATTGATGTCTAAATCGGTCCAAATTTGTTCCTATAAAGTAGCAGAGAACACGGCTATCTTTTTGAATGAAAAATGCGACGAATTACTTCATACTTATATAGATAGAACTCTGAGTCCAACTTTTAGATTGCGCAGAGATACAAAAAACTTTGACTGCAATGTTTTCTTATCACAGATTTTGTTGGTTGTTCATGATGCAGGCATTGGCTTCGCTTGTGCATCTGGGGGATGCTCATAAGAGCGTTCCCTTCCATCTCGTGCAAGCCAAGCTTAATTGTACAAATGAAAAGGTGACGATGGTTGACTTCCCGACAGTACCAGCTCTCAAAGGAGCAAGCCTCTCCGTCTTATCAATAGACTATGAGTCCCGCATCTTAGAAATAGGTGAAAGTGGAGATTGTCTTCCCAGATTCTTTCTACAACGTCTCTACAATTCATCCATTTATCCTTTCCAATTTGATTATTCCGACATGCTATACAATCTTATTTTCTTAGATTGTTCTTCGTTTGCGTTGAGCTCATTCTGTTCATCTAATAGTAGTACCCCCGACTTGTGCTTCTGCCCAATTTATGCTGTTAGCTCTGAAGATGGTGTCTTGGCTATGGACGGGGACCAACTAATTTACTGCACAAGAACTTAACTTTGGCTACTTGAGACTCAGATGCCCTAAAGCAGACGTTGAAAAGCAGAAAACCAGCAAGATTCTCACGTTTGCTTTACCATCCACAGGTGACAATAATTGAATTTGCTTATGCTATATTTTCGTTAATTTCGTTTTTGGGACGTTCATTGGATTGAATTGAATGTTCATTTGTACGCTTTGTATATAGGTCCCCTTCTGCTAGTGTTGCTGTTCTTTTTTGGCTTTTACATATATCACTTCTTCAAAAAGACAGATGATCAAGCAAGACTGGAAAAGTTTATCGACGATTACAGGGCACTCAAGCCCACTAGATTCTCTTATGCTGACCTTAAGAGAATCACAAACCATTTCAAGAAAAAATTAGGTGAAGGAGCTCATGGAACAGTCTTCAAAGGTCATTTATCTACTGATATTGAAGTGGCTGTAGAGGTACTCAATCATTCAGAAACCGATGGTAAAGAGTTCATTAATGAGGTGGGTACGATGGGTAAAATTCATCACATCAATGTTGTTCGTTTGTTGGGCTTTTGTGCTGATGGATTCCACCGTGCTCTTGTTTATGACTTTTTCCCAAGTGGTTGCCTCCAAAAGTTCATATCTACGCCAGACAACAAAGAACATTTCCTTGGATGGATGAAGCTGCAAGAAATAGCTCTTGCCATAGCTAAAAGGATTGAATACCTTCACCAAGGTTGTGATTATCAAATTCTTCACTTTGACATCAATCCTTGTAATATACTATTAGATCACAATTTCACCCCAAAAATTTCTGATTTTGGTCTTGCTAAATTGTGTTCTAAAAATCAAAGTACGGTGTTGATGACGGTAGCAAAAGGAACATTAGGCTATATTGCACCTGAAGTTTTCTCTCGAAACTTTGGAAATGTGTCATACAAATCAGACATTTATAGTTATATAATGTTACTACTAGAAATGGTTGGTGGGAGAAAAAATATTGACACAAATCAAGAAACTTTTAAGGTATGTACCCAGGATGGATACATAATTTCATTGAAGGGGGAGATATAAATATCTACATTGAAGATGATGATGAAGTTAAAATTGCAAAGAAGCTAGCAATTGTGGGACTTTAGTGTATTCAGTGGCATCCAACAAATCGTCCGTCCATGGAAATGGTGATACAAATGTTGGAAGGAGAAGTTGATAAATTGGAAATGCCTCCCATTCCATTTGACTTTGCTACTTCAAGCAATACAAGTACCATTATTCCACCAAGACATTTGAATTTTGAGTTGGAAGTGATTCATGAGTTACAATAAATGCACACCCCCACACACACAAATATGCTAGGTTTATAGAGAGAGAGAGAGAGAGAGAGAGATATATATATATATATATATATTACGTTTGTTGACAATAATTTGCAAGTTTTGTAATGTAAGATTTCAAGTCCATTCCATAATGGATCTTTTTATTATGAAAGAATAGCAATTTATGTTTTCTGTTTCGCATAGTAATGTTTTTCATATCATCGTCAATTAAAGTAATGGATAAAATTAATATAATCATGTTTATAGTAAGATTTCGTTCTCTTTTTTCTCCTGTTTAATATTTAGCTCCCCGTTAGGATGATTTGAATTTTAAAGACATTTACTCAGACTTCGTCTTTGAATTGTGCAATAGATTATTTTTCAAATGACTCTTTCTATGAAAAAACGATTTTTTTTTTAATATTCACTTGTTGGAGTCAGCAGTTTTCCTTGTATAAATCAATATATATAACACAATTCATATTGCATCGCATTATTTTAAACTTATAATTGATGTTACTTATTGTATTCTTTAAATTCAATGTAATACTTAGATGGCAGGGAAAAAAATTTCAAATTAATGCTTAAGGTCCCACCTAATAATCAAGAACTCCCTCCAGTTCCATAGTATAATTAAAAAGTAGATTAGAAGAAAATTATGATTCAAAATATATGGTATTATTAGGATAATTAATATAATTTTTTTATTTTTATTCTTATTAAATATAGGAGAGAGATGAGAAATATGAGAGATAATAAAAGTGTACCATTAAAAGTAATTTTATTTTTTTTAGGTGTAAAATTGAAAAAAATCATTTAATGACTAAAATTCTATTTATTAGTATATAAGAACAATTAACCAACTTTTTATATCATGAACTAGAGGGAGCAGAAGCTTATACATAAATCACAAGAGCATAATTCAAACAACACGTTTAATTATACTCTAATTTTTGGAGATGTAAGATTATATATCTCTTTTAATTTCTAGAGAACTTATTTTTTCACTAAAGCATAGGTATCCTCCTGTTGGAGGCAATCCTATTCGAGTCAATGTCGGGCACTAAATGTGGGTACATCTCCCAATAGGGATTCAAATCTTGATTTGTCACGTTGTGAGCGACTAGCCCCTTCTACTAGACCCAACCTCTGCTGATTTCTAGAGAACTTATTTAGTAAAAAGGCTAGTCTTATAGGACTCAAGAATAAAAGGACCAGCCCATTTAAGCCTACCTATACTTTTATTATTATCAATATATTTATATAATTATGGATCAGTTTTTTATGGACAAATCTTAATCTTAAGCAAGATAATTGAAAAGAATTAGATATCTTGGATTAGTGGAAAAACAATTAAAATCAATTTCCAATTCTTTCAACAATGCTAGCTAATATTTATAGCATTTCAATCATTATAGTAGCTAGTAAATCTTCTTTTATCATCAATTCACATGTCCTAGCAAAATACAAAAATTTCTTATTCTAACAAATATTCAGACTCTTATTTATATTCATAGTTACTATGTAGTTTTACTTTAGATAAGGGTGATGAACACAAAAACTTGATATTTTTATCATTGAAGAAGAGTCAACTTGTAGTAAAGAATAATTAAATATTGTTGATCTTGATCATAATAAGGAGGATGAAGATATGTTAATCTTGTTAATCTTTAGTTGCTTGGTTTTAATCTTTTTACTTTCTCTGTTGCATTTGGTTTTGGCTTTTTTTTGGGTTTGAACAATAGGTTATTGGCGTTTAATGTTTTTTCTATGCGTTATTAGTTTCTTTTATTAATATTTTTAATTTGAATAAAAAAATTTAGAATTTTTATTGATTTATTTTTTATTTCAAAATAATTAAAAATAATTTAAATTTTAAAAAATAATATAAAAAGGCTAGCCTTTTTAGACCTTGAACCTAGGTACCCAAGGGCTGACTTTTAATAATTACATAATTTCAAGATATGTGGCATGTGAGTTTTAAAGGGCCGGCGCTTTACACCCTAACCCTTATTTACAGCTTTAACAAATATTCAAGCAATGTTGAAAATCATGGACATATGCTTGTTTTGTAAGGAGGTGTTTAGGAAGTGTTGGAAGCACCTTAAAAAAATATTTTTACGTAAGTTGAAATAAAACTCCTCTCATATATTTATTTTTAAATTATGTAAATTAGTTTTAAAATCATGATTTAGTTTTCATCCAAATACTCCTTAAATTTAGAAATATATTTTTATTGTGATAGGTATCCTACACGGAGGGTGGAAAATTTGACATAATTGTTTTCATCGTCCTCATCCAATATCACGACTTTTTTTATGGATTCCAATTTTATTTATATTTCGTGTTAAAAATCATGAGTTTTTTTTTTAAATTTCTAGCTTGACTTACAACCTTATGAGCGTATCTGGGGACTGGGGGCAGAAAACTTTTCAACCAAATATTACCATCATGTGGAAAAACATAGACATTTGTTTAACATTTTGGCGCCTTTTCAAAGTGATAATTGAACCTTTTGAATATTTTGTCTATCTCATTTAATTTCTAGCTTACTCTATTTTGTAGGTCTACACGTCTGCTTCTTAAGGGTCGAGTATTCTACACACGACTTGGAAAGCTTGGCATATTATTGATATTCTCTTCATTGTCCGGTATCACAAATTCTTGCGCCCCCAAGTTTTACGCAATATTATGGTCCCTTTGTAACCTATAATTATTGAGGGTTGCACGCCACAAGTGTTCCACCAAAGTATACATAGTACATCATTATGATCCTTACACTAGGAAGCCTGCGAGATTTATAAATTTAAGTGGATTTTCCTCTTCATATGTTAGTCTTTTAAGATTAAGCCTCATCACATGTATGAAAAAATATAATATATACAATTATATAAGGCATACATTTATATGTGTGCTTTATATATATATATATATATATATATATAATTTTTACTTTTGTTGAGAAGAATCTGAAAGATTTGTAATGTAAGATTTCAAGTTCATTCCATAAATGAATCCTTTAATTATCCATGTAGCCACTTATGTTTTCTGTTTGGCATGGCAATATTTTTCAGATCATTGTCACATTAGAGTAATTGATAAAATTATTGTCTGTGGTAAGATTTCTTTCTCTTTTTCTCTTCTTTAACTTTTCGCCATACGTTAGGAAAGGATGATTTGAATCTTAAAATCATTCATCCAGAGGCTTCATCTTTTGAATTGAGTAATAATATATTATTATTCTCAAATTACCCTTTCTACAATAAAATCAATTGTTTGTTGTAATATTCACTCGTCGAACGTAGCAGCTTTAATTTCTTGGGTAAATCGATACAACACAATTCGTATTACGCCGCATTATTTAAAAATTATAAATAGTGTCACTACTCATTTCTTTAATTTCAATGTAATGCTTGAGGTCTTACTCAAATAATCAAGTAGAAACCTATACATAAAGCACACAAGAGCATAATTCACACAATGTTTCATTGTGCTCTAATTTTTGGAGATATATCATTATCTCTCTTTTTATTTTTTTTCCCATTTTAATTTGTAGAGAACTTATCCAGTAAAGGGATTTATTCTGTCAAATATAGAATATATAAAGGAACTAGAGGTATACTCATTTGCTTCCATTGTCATTAGTCAAAGTTATAATTAACTTTCATGGATCTAATTTAATTCCATTTGGGGTCAACTTTATCATTAATCAATGTGGAAAATTTGACATAGCTATTTTAATTGTCCTCACCAAATATGTGACCTTTTTATACTTTACAAGAGGGAAATCACCATATTCCAACTTCATTTATATTTATTGTTGAAAGTTACTCTTTTGGTTCTTAATATAAGACTCATTTAATTAATTTGATTAAATTAAGGAAGTTAGGTAAGTTAGTTAATTATAAAAAATGTGACACATTTTTCTTAAAACACCATAATCATCTTTCTTAATACCCCCTCTCCCTCTTTTACTTGATTATGATTGAGGGAATATTCATAGGGGTAATTTAGAGAAAAATGATAAATATGAGAAATAAGTCTTATATTTAGGATCAAAACTAACTCAACAATTGAGTCATATATTAAGGATCGGAGGAGTATGATTTTTCCCCGTATATCTTTATCTTGACTTATAAGCTGCTCTCATGAGCGTATTTAAGAGAGAGAAGTTTTCAACCAAGCAGCAGTGTCATGCGGAAAATTAGAGATGCTCGTTTGACGTTTTAGTCTTCTCAAGGCACTAATAAGAATCTTGAATACTTTGTCTTTCTAATTTAGTTTCTAACTTATTTTATAGGTTAAGATGTCTCTTTCTTAAGGATGAGTATTTTTTTTATAACATTAAAAGTTTGATGGGCCAGATCTGGAACTTATTTGGATCAGACCATGTCTTCTGACTTATAAATCGCTTCCTAACAAAATCTTTAACTTCAAAAACTTGAGCATATATATTATTTTTATTGTCCTTGTTCGGTGTCATAAATTCTCGTGCCCCCAAAGTTTTACGGAATATTATGGCCCCTTTTTAACTTATTTTATGCTCATTCCTTTCGAAATATGAAAATTAGTTAAAGAATCAATTTTGATTTTAAATATGATATTCTAATTTATTTTTTTATATTTGTTATTTTTTAAATTAATTTGTCTAATTTATAAATTAATATATAATCAAATATTTCACAAAAAGTATTTTAGAAAAATCATCTTATATTTATTATAATTAACTAATTTATCTAGCTTTCTTAATGTATTCAATTTCCAAATTAATTATAGCTCCGTCTTGTAGGCCACAAGTTTCCCGCCAAATGTTGCTATGTAAATGCGGAAAACTAGAGACATTTGTCTCCGTTTGTCATTACTTAAAAGTAGCTGTAGGTTTTTCCATGCATTGAGTAATTTTAAAAGATATATTGATCCATTTCTAACTTGACTTAGAATTATTGAAGTCTATTTTTTTGTTGGGATGAGTATTATATGGGTAATATGGAAGACTTCATATGTTTGCTTCCACTAGTGCATTGTGATCTCTTTCTACCGTGTCCGTGTTGTGTAAGTGTGGAAATTAAAATTACCGACTTACTTTGTTTTTGTTGTCACTGTTTAACGTTATGAATGTATTTCTCACGGCATCTTAATTTTTAAATATATTAATATGATATGATACATAATAAAAAAATAAAAATCATGACATAACAAGAGCGGCTAACTTTAATAATAATCCGGGTTAAAGTATAATTTTAATAATATTAGTTCTAGAGGATGTAAATGTAACAATCATCATTTAAAAAGAGCAACTTTCCCTCTCCAATTAACGGATCCAAACGTATGTTTATTTTTGTATGTGGGTCGCTGGTCTTCAATTCTCTCCCCATCCCTCTTCTTTCTCGTGCCCCCTTTCTCTCTCATCTGACATATCCCATGCCCGCCGTCTCCTTCACTGAGTTCCATCTCATCTCTCACTTTTGCTCTTCATTCCCCAGCGAAGTCTCCGAAACCGATCATAACCATTTTCCTTTTGATCCTTCTATTAAAAATTCCTCTGGCCCTTTCTCGCTCCACTTCGAACAAGACATTGCTCGGTGGTTTAGAGTCCTGGGTCGCCCTCTATCTCAGTGGCCATCTCGTCGCCAAGCTAGTTGAAGTCGGTGTTCTCTGGGTATAATCCTACTGGTTGAAGTTTGAAGTCTGAATCATACCCACAATAGCTCCATCCTCGCCAGCGTTGCTGCTTACCATTCTCGTCCTTCACGCATCTCGCCGTCCATGTACCGCTCGTGTTACCTCTATCAATGGCAAAGCTCTGATGCCCAAAAAGTATTTCATGAAATTGTTCAGCTTCAGTTGAAAATGGTCTGTCCGATTTAGTAATTTTTGTAATATTTATGAACAGATTTGTTTGGTTACATGATGATTATGAACGCTCTGGTTGGTGATGATTTATATTGTTTGTCCTGTATGGCTTTTGATTATGAACCTTGTTTTCCCTTGTTTAGTAGCCATGGCCAGCATGTTTGGGAATGAAAGAAGTCCAAGATGATGATGAGTAACAGAGATGGGGGGTAGGGAAGGGGATCTCCACTACAGAGAAATGAGGCAAAAATCTATGGGACCCACTTAAGGCAGTTGTAGAATTTCTATTGGATACTATAAATGATGTGGATGATCAAAGTAGGACCCACCAAATTAAAAATAACGAACATTTGGATCAGTCAACGAAGTGGGACATTTGCTCCCTTTTTAAATGATTATCATTATTTCTGCAGCTTCTAAAACTAAATGGTGCCAGATGTTATTTACACAAAATTTTGTTGTTAAAATTATATCTTAACTCTAATAATTTTAATGATATGAGTTTTGATAACCAAAATAAATTTTTAGAGACGTCAGGATTCTTAATTTAAACTTTTAAAGGCTTGGGAGGTGCTCTATAATTGACACAAAATTTTATGGGAGTTTTGTATATTTTAACATTTTTCAATATATTAATAATTATTCTTTTTTATTTTTTAAAATTGAAATTATTGTCATATTTACATTTTATTTATAATTGGGTTAAGGTGCACTCAGCACCCCCAAGTATTTTACTAGGTGCACCCAGTGGCCTAAAGTAATTTATAGTGCAATTTTGCCCTCAAAGTAATTAAAATGGTGCACTGGTATCCCATGCTAACAGATCTGTTACTTTGACCGTTAAATTGATGAGTCAGCACAAGTTTAACTAAAATAATCTGACGTGGCATGTCTAATAAACAAGTGATGTGGAATTTTTTCGGGGTTAAGGTGCATCCAGCACCCCAAGTATTTTTCTAGGTGCACCCAGTGACCTAAAGTAATTTATGGTGCAATTTTCCCTCAAAGTAATTAAAATGGTGCACCGGTATCGTATGCTAACAGATCTGTTACTTTGACTGTGAAATTGATGAGTCAGCACAAGTTTGACCAAAATAATCTGACCTGGCATGTCTAATAAGCAGGTGACATGTCTTTTCTTGTTAATTCCATTATCTTGTCTGAATATTACTCCTCTGGTCCTATTTATAAGGCACTTCCAGCATGTTTCACACAGACCAAGAAAAACCTTAAATTTCATTAACTCTCATTTAAATTTTAATAACTTTTCAACTTTATCCCTATTTAATATACATTATACCTCATATAAACAAAGTCAATACAATAATAAATGAGGGGTAAATTTGTACATTCATACAAAAAATTTCTCTCAGTGCCTTATAAATAGGACCAAAAAATATCTTCTCTCTCTACCTTATAAATAGGACCGGAGGAGTATCTCTGAAAAAATTTCTTACTCTGAAAAAAATTCCAAGAGCCGAAGAGAGCATTTACTTAACAGAGAAAACAAAGCAATGGCAAACGAAAAAAATTCCATATCACTTGCTTATTAGACATGCTAGGTCAGATTATTTTGGTCAAACTTGTGCTGACTCATCAATTTCACAGTCAAAGTAACAGATCTGTTAGCATAGGATACCGGTGCACCATTTTAATTACTTTGAGGGCAAAATTGTACCATAAATTACTTTAGGCCACTGGGTGCACCTTGAAAAATACTTGGGGGTGCTGGATGCACCTTAACCCCGAAAAAATTCCACATCACTTGCTTATTAGACATGCCACGTCAGATTATTTTGGTCAAACTTGTGCTGACTCATCAATTTAACGGTCAAAGTAACAGATCTGTTAGCATGGGATACCGGTGCACCATTTTAATTACTTTGAGGGTAAAATTGCACCATAAATTACTTTAGGCCACTGGGTGCACTTGGCAAAATACTTGAGGGTGCTAGATGCACTTTAACCCTTTATAATTTTATAAAATGTTAAATATGAACCATTTAAATTTCAATCTTATAATTGAAATAAGAAATGGATGGAAATGGAGAAACTTTTTACCTAGGAGTGACTGCTTTCTTCGAGCGAGCGAGCGTATTGTTTTAATTATGATCTTTTTGGTAAAAAATTAATAATTTTGTCTTTGTTATATTAAGCTAATGAGGATCATGTTCAGTGAGAAGCAGCAAAACTGTGCTGAATTAATGGGCAATTTGGCATTAACCAACACCCCAAAAAAATTAATTAAAAATTAGATTTTTATATATTTTATCTCTCAAATTTATAATAATACCTCCTTTTCTAATTATAAGATATTTTTTTATATAAATTATAAATGGGTTCTTATTATTCCACCCATGGTTTATTATTCCATCAGGCACCACTGATTCCCAATCGGAGGCCATGAGTGTCACCGATTTCACCTGACACTGAGGTTTAAAGTGGTCAGCCAGCAAGTCTCCGGCCACAGCATAAACATGGCCTCTTCCTTCTCCTTTGGATTGCCAATGCACACAGGCCGCCGTATCCATATATGCTGCGTCATCCCTCACTGAATCGCTGCAGTTCAGGTACCCCACCTGCGTGAATATTATCGATTTTGTTCCGTTGCTGTATAGAGTATTAGTTCTGTAGAGATTACTGCTATGTTCATAAAAAAACGTAGGGAGACTCCTCAGAGTTGAAATTGGAAAGGGATAAGGAATAGAGAGGGAGGGAGGAGCAATTGCCGTCCTGAATTCCAGCATCTACGAGTCGGATTGTGTAGTTGTTGTAGTTGATTCCCGTCACTCTGTATGTTGCTGAATACAGATGAAGGAGAGTGACGTTGTTTTCACAGGCTAGCTCGTAGATGTGATCGCCGCAGTTGGGCGGGTCATCTCGTAATCGGAATGGATGTGAGATGTTTGTGATAATGCCGCAACGAGACGGAGCACAGGACTTGCCCTGTTCTAGAGAACTCGTGAGTCCATACATTAGAAGTAGTGTAAACAACTCTGATTGCCAACACCTTGGGCCTTTCTCTCTGTTCATCGTTCACAATGATGTGAAGCTGCGCCACCTCTGGATTCTAAGCTTTCTCATTCAATCAGATTTCTTTTCTTCTAATTAAACACCGCTCCTTATCCTTTTTCTCCTCTTCTAGCTCCACGCGGCTAACTTGCATTGTTGTCCAAAGTTGACTTCAATTTCTGACTAATGACTTCTCTTTACATCTCCCTTGGGCCTTGGCCAGCTTTCTCTCTGAATATTGATGATATTTCCTTCCATCTTCCCTTCGCCTGCCGAATGATTTGATTGGTGGAGGATTGGTCTAATTCATGGTTTGTTTGTTTTTTCCCTTTCTTTATTCTTGTTTGTTTGTTTGTTTTTGGATGTGGCGTTAGCTCGAGGCGAGTTAATGGTGAGGTTTGGTCTAAGGCATTTGAACTTTGATGTGATTGATGAATTAGAATAAAATACTTATGTTGGCTTGCCAAATATATATAGCTTTTACTCTTATTCAGAATATTTTGTAAGAATTATGAATTCTTTATGATCAATGTGCCAATTTATGCTCTGGTGAATATTGCAATATTTTACATAAGAGACATATCATCTTATGTCTTTTTTCAAAAGTTATGAGTTTTCCCCATAATTTCTTTTAATTTTGAGATATATCATCATGTGGAAAATAGAGACATTTTTTTAAATGTCATTGTCTAATTTCATGATTTTTCAAAGTATATAACAACTTTTGGAGGTTTGACCTTTTTCTATATTTGTATGCCTATACGACTTTTCTTAAATTTTGAGATACATGACCTTTTTTTTTCATAAAAAAATTTAGAGGATGACTAATCCGTATGCAGAGAGGAAAACTTGACATATTTATTTTCATTCTGTCCAGTATCACGACTTTTCTTGGGAAAATTATTATCTCTTTTTAACTTAATTTTAAGTCTATAATTATGAAGGTCTCATTCAAGCAATATAGGATGTGTGGAAAGCTCTATAGACATTTATTTTCTTTCCAATTTCTTTCTATAATTGTGGAGGCCCCATTTTATAGAACTCTTCTCGCAAGCATACACACGTGGGGCAAAATGAGAAACAAGATCTATTTCTAAAATAGGATGAATATTTTATAATTTAGAAATTTCTTCTTGTTTTTTTCCTCAAAAATAGAATGAATATTTTGTATTGTCATGTTAAAAATTTAACAAGTTTGTTTTCACCGCAAATTTCTTTTGTTTTTTTTTTGGCCAGATTCTCCGTAAATTTCCCCCAAAAAAAAAATGGTTTCATGGAATTCAATCGTCTTGACCGCAAGTCGTTTTTTTTTTTTTTAAATTTTAGGTCAAAGATCGCAAGTGTGATTTATATCAAAATTAACTTTTTATTTTTTGAAGTCACTTTTTGTTGCATTGGATTTAGTACATGTAATTGCATTAATTAACTTTTTTCACTCTATTATTTAGATTGTTAAAATTCAAATTGAATTTCAACAATTAAATAATAAATAAATATTAAAATTATATATAGTCTCTTTAGAAAAAGCTTGATAGATCTTGGGTTCAAGCTTGCCACTTATTGGAGGAATTAATGTTTACTAAATATGGACACTTCTCCTAATAGGATTTAAATTTTGAGGGACTCGTTTTTTTTACTAGATCCAACTTTATTAGTACATATACTTTTTCAAGAGGCCAATCTAGAATTTCATTTTTTTAAAAAAAAAAAAGATGATCTTTTTTTTCACGTAAATACGCAGGGATGGTTTAGGCCCAAAAACCAAATCATAAATGGACGATGAGTGAGCTAGATAGTATGAAAGTTTTGGGCCATGATGACCCAACATCATATTTACCACATTGTTGATCAAATAGATAATTGCTTTTCGGCTTCATGCAAAAGTAAATTAATCACAGGAGATTCAAGGAAAAATGACAAAAAAAGACCGTCAAAATAGAAAAATTATAAATAAACATGATAACATTAATATGGGTTTTGATAATAATAGTATGGGCTTTGAAAATAATTTTTTTAAACTGGTCCTTTTATATAATTTTTCTATTTTAGTGGTCTTTTTTTTTTCCTTTGCCATTTCCCAAGATTCGACCTGGGAGAGTTACTGAAGCCAAAAGTGGACATTTTGCCATTTAATTTTACAAAAAAATTCATTTTTATCTTAATTTTATAGATTGTTCTTTTGCCTTTTAACCATCATGGTGTTAATACAAAAAGAGAAAATGACCCAAAAAAAAAGAACTTAAAAATTACTAAATTTTAAATAAAGTTTAGTGACAATGCTGAATTTGTAAATAACAATAAATTTTTATTGACATTTTTTATTTGACATTTATTAATTTTCGGCTCCTTTGTTTTTGGTCATTTTCCCATAAAAAATGCTGATATTTTAATTTTAAATATGGACAAAACATTTTCAAAGGGTTTAATTTACTTGCTAAAAAGTTTAAAATATATAAAATCTCACTTAAATTTTAAGTTAATTGAATATAACCACTTTGACATTTTAAAGTTGAAATTTAATCCCGTTGACATTTTAATTTTTTTAATATTAAACCCGCCATTATTTTTGCCATTAGGCAACTAATGGAAACTATCATATCAAGCTGACAAGGATGACGTGGCATTCGGTAAACAAAACAGAATGGAAAAAGTGATTTGCAAAAAGACTTAGATCAAATTTTTAATATTTATTATATCAAGTTTTTTTTAATTATAGATGGTCATGTGTCCTTTTTGGTTTTATATGAATTTATAACTAAATGCTATTAAATTTTAATATTTCAAAAATAGGATATATGGCCATGTGTGATTATAAAAATTTGACATAATGGATATAAAAAAAAACTTAATATAAGTATTCTCCAAGTATTTTGATATACAAAATATTTTTGAATTATTAGTATAATAAATATTTATATGGCAAGAATGTTCGGATTACGTACACAAACACCTCAAATACAGTAATACTCTAATTCTTGTTCCCCAATCCTAATGTCACCTAATTTCTTTTTTGTTGCCCTAAAAATGACAAAAACGTTTTCCCCTCCTAATGTGGAAGGAAAAATAATAGAAAAATGATTGTTAAATTTAAAATTTTCAAGTGGTCACGTGACTAAGAGAAATTCTTTTCTAGTTACAAATGATTAAATGAGAATTTTATAATTTGATATAATGACCATACTTGATAGAAGGTTAGAAATGTATTTGTGCTTCTATTAAAGATCTATGATTGTTTTCCCAGTGACATGTTACTAAGGAGATGATAAGCTTGAAATAGATGTCCGTACTACATCTTCAGTAAACATATGAAAACTGTATAGAAAATTATCGAGGCAAGAAGTAATTCCCCGGAGGTTATGCAACAGTATTGTTAAAAAGTACTCCATCCGTTCCTTATTATAAGAGACGAATAACCGAATTACGTTGATAAAAAAAACAGTTAAAATTAGTTAAGAATAATTAATATGTAAAAAGTATAATTTTTCCTCCAAAAATGCCCTCATTAATAAGGAGAGAACATGAAAGAGAACAATGGTAATTTATTAAAAGAAAGAGAAGTGGGAAGGAGAGAGAGTGTGAGTTGGAGACAATAAATATGGGTAAAATAGGAAATCAACACAAAAAAGTACAGACAACTTTTAAGTGTCTCTTATATATAAGAACATGCCATAAGCACCAAATGTCTCTTATAATAAGGAACAGATGGAGTACAATTTACAAGTTCCCATCACTTGCACATTCACTAGACTACCCTTAGACCAATATGAGATAGTAGATTATGAGCTTGAAAGAGATTATTAGTCTTTGTCCATGCCATAACATCACTATTAAACTATGAAAATGAGATACTAAATCATTAGAAGAAAATTCAAATCACAGCAAATAACTGAGTATTGTTATTAAATACAAAATGATACACTAAACTTTTAAAATATTACCGCACCTAACCTCCACTTTCAATTGCAAAGTATCATTTCCCATCACTTGTACCCTCACCTTGACGATTGCTTTGAGAATGTATAGAGATAGTTGATGTTGCCTGGCTAGAGGAGGATCCATCATCCACCAAAACTTCTTCATTAGGATATAAAGAAGGCTTTGGAGGCATTTCAAGACTTTGAACATCATCTGCTTCTAGCATCTCTATTACTTTACTCATTGAAGGGCGATCTGTAGGTTTTAGTTGTATACACCATAGTGCCACTATGAACATTTTCTTTGCTAAATCTTTTTCATCTTTTGTCAAATCTTCTATTTCTATATCTTTTTCTTCATCAAATTGGTCATAAATCCACAATGGAAAGTAAAGTTGGCTTGAATGTTCAACATGTGGATTCAAATTCTTTCTTCGACTAGCCATTTCCATCAAAAGCATTCCAAAGCTATAAACATCAGCCTTATAAGATACTCCTCCAATATTCTTGTAGAATAATTCAGGAGCCATATACCCTATTGTTCCTCTTGCTGCAGTTAAAGTTACAATGCTATCGTCAACGGAATATAACCTTGCAAGTCCAAAATCTGAAATCTTTGGAGTAAAGTCATCATCGAGAAGAATGTTATGGGGTTTGATATCAAAATGCAATATTTGCATGTCACATCCATGATGAAGGTAAGCAATCCCATGAGCTACTCCTAGAGATATGTCATACATCTTGTGATAACTTAAAGGGTTACCTTCTTGTTTAGAAAAAATATATTTATCTAATGATCCATTAGACATGAATTCGTAGACAAGAGCTCGCTTTGAGCTGTCCACACAGAATCCAATAAGATGCACCACATTAACATGATGAATCCTCCCAATAGTTGCCACTTCACTAATAAATTCTTGGCCATTAGCTTTGGATTTACCCAACATTTTGACAGCAACATCATGTCCACTCTTTGATTTCCCTTTGTAGACAGTGCCGAATCCTCCTTCACCTAACTTATCTTTGAAACCTTTGGTCATTGCCTTCAAATCCTTGTAGGAGTATCTTATTGGAATGAGGTTGTGAAGTCGTATAAAGTCTTCGATGTTTTCGAATATTGACATGTGCCTTCTACGGTATATGTAAACCAACAGTATAGATAGAAATATGACACCAATTGAAAATCTTACTATGGTGTATGGCACAACAACTCTTCCTGTAATTATTCCCAGTTTGATTGCAGCATTTGTCAGAATAAAATCGGTGTCATCGTGGTGATCGTATATACCCTTCCCTGCTATTTGGAACAATCCTGCAAATATTTCTTTATCCGATAAACATCAATCATATAAATGGTTACTGACAAGAATATGGCTTCTTGAATAAACGAAGAAGAAGTAACCACCATTAATTTTTTTGGGTTAATATAATTAGCTCATGAAATTAATCTTATTTTGGAATAAAATCCGTGTCATTGCTGCGACGGCCTATTCTTTTTTTTGCTATTTGGAACAGTCCTGGACATGTTTTTCCAATACACATAGGATTTACATATAACCAATGGTATCTATGTAAATGAGTTGCCATGACTCTCTAGAAGGTAGAAATGCCAGCATAGCTTGCATAATCGCAGGTGACAACTTTGGTCCCTAAACTTTGACTGATATTAATCCAGTCCCTATAGTTTTAAAACATCAAATAAATAGATCTCATACTTTGTATACATCAAAGATAATTAATGGTTTTAAAAAATTAAATAAATTTTGTCTCAAAAATTATAATTATTTTAAAGACTAGCATTATTATTAACTTTTGTACTAGATTTAATATTATAATTTAAAAAGCTGATGCTACAAAATAAAAAAATTACGATTTAAACTATTTTAAAATTATTATTTTTATGAAAATTTAAGAGTAAATCTTATAGATGAGAACCATGTTAGAAAATTTGGCCGTAAAAAATAACTATGCCGGACGGAACCTTAATTAGATTTTATTTTAAATATTTTTTTATTTACATATTTTAAATTAAAAATTAATATATCAGTATTCAAATGCTGAGTCATCATTCTAAAATTGTTGAATCATGATTTTTTGTTGGTGAAGTCAACAGTGTCAAGTTTAAGGGACGAAAAATATAATCTTTAAACTTAAAAGACTGAATTAAAATTTAATAGAAATTTTTAAAAACTAAACGTATTTATTAACCTAAAAAATTGTACCGAAGCTGAGATAGAACCTTACCCTTTTCAAGTCCATAAAGATAATCTGCAAGAAAATTTTACAAAAGTCAACAACGGCAGTGATAGATTAGAGAACGATAAAATATTTTTGAAGCAAACTCTTTCAACTGAGTTTATTAATAGTTCAAGTTTAAGAGCTAATCGATATGGTTTTATAAGTTAAAAATATAAAAACATTATACTCCGTTTCTCTCTTTTTCCTAGTACGATTGGAAATCCTATATTTTACATACCCATAATAACAATGGCAATAAAAGAAAAGTTATTTTAGTAAAAAGACTACAAAATATGACGTTAAAAAAAGTGATATACATTCTGCTCCAAAAACAAAAATAGAAAAGTGACCTATATAAATTTTTTTAATAATAAGTAAATAATTGATTTAATTAATTTTTTATTTTAAATTAATTAGGTAGGTCTTATATCTAAAAGAATCGTTACTGGTGCTTTTTTCTTTTTAATAGAGTTATTGGTGTTATTAAACAGCACATTTCTCTCACCATTGGAGCAGCAACTTGGCAGAAATTAGTTTTGCTTTTTGTTATATTAATTATGTTTATATGTTATTAAACTTATTCTTGTTTTCAAAAACCTTATCTTTAAAAAAATAAATGTGAATTAAAATGATATTTTTGGAAAACAAGTTACCTAACTAACATAAAAAAAAAAAAGACTTCTTTGAATGTTAACTTTCCAAACAACCCCCTAATAGTATTATGGCTAAGCAACATAGTATCAACACAAAATTATTGAATAGTGAATACATTCATTACCTTCGGCCAATATTTGCAGTTTCGAAAATTCACCTGCAACAAACAAAAGTGTAACATGATATTAAATCAAAATTATCAGATCATCGGCAGATAATGTCTGTGTTAAGATTAAAAGTTAAAACGGTAATATGGAATTCTCAATAAAAATAAAATTAATTTTGTTAGTAATTATTAATTTTATCGAAAAAGACGGTTTTGTTGGGATAGACAGATGCTTGTTTTATTTAAGCCAAGAAAACTGTTAAACAAATCTGAGTTAGCGAGAAGTAGACTAATGAGTAAATATCTTTTATTGACAAGCAATACTACAAGTTGTTAATGTAAGATTCAATCTGTGAGGCACATTGCACTGTAAAATAAATCTTATGTCTAAGAGCAAATCTAATATTTAAGTATAGATATGGTTAAAATTATGTAAATTTAACAGGATATTTGAATTAATATTTTAAAAATAATTTTATAACGCACAAAATAAATGTGTGAGATACTTATAGGTTACCCAGCAGCAAGTGGACTCTTTCCATTGCCGCGTGGTTCCTAATTCACGGCATTAAATAAAGGAAAAATTACAAATAAGGGGCCTGAAAAGTATAAAATTGCGTTTTCAGTTCTTGAATTTAAAAAACTATTGTCAGAAATCAGATCTTAAATATGAATTAACAATAAACAAATATTGTGTAAAAGACCAAAATGACCTCCTTTTTGAACTTTGTTATTTTTAACTGCAGACTTATTATTTAGAATTCTTAGCTTATAATTTCTAATATTGTATTTGTTATCTAATAGAGCAGACTTGTTATTCATCAGGCAAATAGATAAGCACCTTCAAATCTTTTTTCCCCCTACTTTCCCTTTATTAAAATGACCAGTAGTGCTTGATTTTAGATGGAGAAGATGCTTTTGCCTTTTAGAACAACTTGAATCTTAGATATGAAAATGCAAAGCTCTTTGTTGGAAGTCTCTTCATTTTGAAGGAGTAAACGAGAGGGGAGAGAGAGAGAAAGAGGAAAGTTGAAAAAAAATAGAAGAAAACTTGACAGGGATAAGCAACACGCATAACAAGGCATAAACGGAACAATTGCTAAGGGCTTGTTTGGCTCGATGGAGGGGAGAAGAGAGGATGGATTTTAAGACCCGTTTGGAACAGTTTATAAATAATTTATAAATAGTTTTTAATAGTAATTTATAAAATATGAGGCAAATATGTGAGAAAAATTTTGTCTCGACTTATGTAAAATGTACTTATAGGAAATTTCTTAAGCCCTTCTAAACAGGCTCTTAATGAAGGGAAGGAAAAGTGAAGGGCGAAGAGAGATTTTAATATTACCTTATTTAAATTGATCAAAAGGGAGGGAAGAGAATGGATTTTAATGTTACCTTGTTTGGTTCGGAGGAAAGGAAAATATTTCTATATGAACAACCTTACTCTTATTATATTTGAGTTTTTTTTTTTCAAGTTTGCATAATGTTTAATAAAATATAATTATAAATTACATTTATGTCAAAGTATAATTTATAATCATACCTACAACATATATACCATAATAATTATACATATTATTCTGACAGAAAATAATTATAAATATTATAATTATAATACATATACGCACAATAATAACTAAACTTAATATATATACATAACCCACTGAAAAATTATGATCATTTTTTACGTCACTGTTGCTAACAATTTTTGCTTAAAGACGGTTGGAGTATTTTGACACATGAATACAATTTTAAACTTTTTAACATATTGATTTAAAATTTTTCACTAATAAAATTTAATTAATAAATTTTTTTAAAAAAACTTACGGTTAAAATATTATTCTTATTTTAAATTTTGCATACATTAAAACAATTTTTTAAAAGATATAAAAGTAAAAATTAAATTTGGACCATATTAGTCTTGGATGGCCCTGCACTAATATTAAAACAGTAGCTGATAAATGAAATATAAAAGATTCGCATACTAATTTATTTTTTTGGGCAGAAAACACTAATTAATTTATTTGACATTCATATATACCCACACACGGTTAATATATAACCATCCAAAAAATAGTTGAGGTTGTGAGGATGAAGAACAAAGGGAAGCATAGTATGAGAATATCAATATATCTTTTAATACTATTCCACTCAAGCCACGGCTCAAATGGCTTATTCTTTGGCTTCAGACTCATTTTACTGTTCATAAGGAATTTTTGGCTTAATAATAGCCTATCGGGCTCTGTGTCATATGGCTCATATAAATGGCTGCGTGCAAAGACTATATTTTGAATTTCAAATCCCGCCTCATTTTTTATATTTTGAAATTTGAATCTTCCCCATTTATGAATCCTGTCAACACTGTCTTGTCCTTTCTATTTCTTCGGCATCACACATTCTCTCTTTCTTGTACGGCTCACTTCTCAACTCCTCCCATATCCTTTTTCTCAGCCTCCAACCGTCAATTTCTTTTTCAAACCGCCTCACTCATATTTTCTTCGTTGGTCTCTTCTTCTTCAGTCTACGTCTTTACTAATGAGGAGCTAAACATTGAAGATGGTGGGGAGATCTGGTGACCACGACAACAGCGGAGAGGCACTGATGAGAATGGCGATGACACTGGGGAAGCAGAGACGAGGAGATCATGGCTATAGGAAGGTGAGTGACAGAAGTGAGGGCTACACATTGGTCCTCGCCCTCTCTATTCCATCGCATTCTTCTTTTTCATTTCTCAGTAAGGATGGTAGGGAGATCTAGCAGGCTTGGCGACGACGAAGAAGCCATGATCACGATGGCCATGATAGTTGGGAGGCAGAGATGAGAGGAATCGGCGGTGATTCTTTTCAGGCAAGGATGCGACAGTAGAGAGAAATCGCTGAGGATATGACAGATAAAGTCAGCTTGCAGTGCTTTTGGCTTCTTTCTTTGATGATTATTTTTCCTCTTCTTCTTACATTATATCTTGACCTTCATACCCGCAGCATTTGCCTTCAGGTTCGTTTGAAAAAGGATGGTGGATGTTTCCACTTCATGACATTCCCCCTTCTTTTTCACGAGTATGGAGATTAAAGAGGGCAGCGAATCTACGAGATAATAGCGATTGTACATTTATATTGTAATCCTCTATCTCCATTTTATATTTCCTCATTTCAGCAATATTTCAGCTATCGTTTTTTCTCATGCTGCCAAAATTTCATCTTTTTCCCAACCAGATTCGGTGTTGTGGCTACCAACTCTCTCTAGGTTCTCCATCCTTGAACATGTTATCAGTAGGATCAAGGGACATAGCAGAGAGAGGGAGATGTATGAAATGTTTGCAAGTGAATAAGGATCACTATCAAAGAACGGAAGACAAAATGCTTCTACTTCATGTCAACAATTATGGTCCCACAGACTTGACCTTCATTCAATCCAAGGGCCTTCTTCAATGCAAGTGCAAGTGTTGTTATCTTTTCCAAGTCAAGAAGCTTTGTCCAAACCTCAAGAAGTATTTCTCATTCCTCTTCTCATTTTACCTGTTTTTGTTGATTTGGCATTTGAAACAATATATCAAAATTAACTGATGGGGTTTTTCTATATTCTCTGTCCAATTGTAAGGATCTACGCAAAAGACGAAATCAATTCACATAGGTGAAAGAAAGAGACATTATTTTAGGTGAGGTTCTCATTTAAAGTAATTGCTCCCCGTGCAACGCACGGGACAGCACCATCTAGTTAAAAATAACATGACTAATTTAGTCAACACAAGATAAAAATATACCACTTCCCTTCAAATTTACCAGTTTTGGAGTGGAGCAAAATCTCTCCACTTCTCTTCCCTCTAAATCTCTCACACCAAAAACACCCATGGCCTGTTTGAAAGTTTTTCAATCCTGCTGCTATGTGAAAATAAGTTGTGTCGGTTTGCGAAAAAAATGTTTATAAACCGTGAGCTGGAAAAGGGAAAGGAAAGGTGACTTACTGCAATCTTTTTTGTGAGGTATGCCAACGGGACCATCACAGCGCCAACGCTGATCAAAGCATCCGAGACTGAGAGTTCCAGGCTCCAAAGAGCATGCATAATAACTCGGGCATTTAAAATCAACACAGGCTCGTACCCACCACGAAAGCTCAAATCCGAAGGAAAGCAGTGTGTGAATATCAGCGTAGGACTTTATTCCTCCATTTCCCAATGACTCCCGATGTGAGGCTATCGCGGCCACCCATTTTACGCGACACCCAGAATTCAACTGGTAAGCCGTCAAGTCTCCAGCTACAGCATAAGCATGGCCTCCTCCTTCCCAATTCACGCAGGGTGCTGTGTCCAGGTACGCTGCGTCGTCCCTTACTGGATCCCTGCACTTCAGGTACACCACATGCTCGAATATAGTTTCGTCGTCCATCAGAGCGGCGTTATAGGGATTACGGCTATCATAATCATAGGATAAGTTGTAAGTGTCGGTGAAATTAGATCGGGATAAGAGATAGCGAGGGAGGGAGGAGCAATTGCCCTCCTCAACGCCAGGATCTACGAGTCGGATTGTGTGGTTGTTGTAGTTGATTCCCGCCACTCTGTATGTTGCTGAATACAAATGGAGGAGAGTGATGTTGTTTTCACAGGCTAGCTCGTAAGTCGGATCGCCGCAGTTGGGCGGGTCATCTCGTAGTCGAAATGGATGTGAGATGTTTGTGATAATGCCGCAACGAGACGGAGCACAGGACTTGCTCTGCTCTTGAGAACTCGTAAGTCCATACATTAGAAGCTGCGTAAACAACACTGGATACCAGCACCTTAGGCCTTTCTCTCTGTCCATCGCTCACCGTGATGTGCAGCTGTTGATTCTAAGCTTCCGTATTTAATAAACGCGGCTCGATATCCTTTTCCTATACTTCTTGCTCCACGCGGCTAGCTTGTATTGTATTGTTGTCTATGGTTGACTTCACTTTCTGACTAATGACTTTGTTTACATCTCCTTTGGCCAGCTTTCTGTATGATTTGACTGGTATGATATGAGTAACAGGTATTTTCCCCCTAGACTAGGAAATGCAAATTATTTTTTTTAATCTGAAAATTTTAGAGATTGATAAGTAAATTAAAGAGAAACTCGGATCAATCCCAAGCGGCTGCTTTCAGTAAGAAGCACCATAGTTCACAGCAAACACTTTGGGTCCACAATCACCTTCCAAGTTGCATCCATCTTCCCTTGCTTTCATTTTGAATGAGATATGCGGCGTGTTACCTGATACTTAAACATATATTATAACCCGAATCCAAGTTTCATATACAACACACAAAAAAAAAGTGGTTACGATGTTTTGCTATCGTAGATTTTTTTTGTTGGTGATCATCCAGGTAGCGGTGCTCCTTCTGAAACAAGGGCATGGTCAGCAACAGCATGCGCCTAATGATAAAATTGTCCCCTTCCATCTCTATGACAGTGGCAATATGGTTGAGTTCCCTTCTATCCCTGCTCTCGAAGGAGTAAGCCTCCGTGTCGATGTCATAATCGATGAATTGCGCATCTTATCCACACAGGATCCAGGAGGTTGTCTTCCCAGACTCTTTCTACAACGTCATCTCTACAATTCATCCATTTATCCTTTAGAGTTTGATGATATGCCCGACAAAAATGTTACTTTCTTCAATTGTTCTTCGCTTGGATCACGATACCTCAGAAACGAAGACTTTTCTACTCCATTTGCACAAGATATGCTCGTCTGCCCGATTTATGCTGTTCAGTCCTATGATAGTATCCTGAAGCAGGACCTAGCTTTCTGCACCAAGATGTTTCAACTAGTTTCACCCATTTCTGCATTTTCACTTCAGGAAAACATGTTACAATTTAGATGGCCACAACCAAAATCCGACGTTGAAAAGCACAAAACCAACGCGATTCCTGGAATTGTTTTAGCAGGTGCTTGTGACACTCGTTGACTCTGCTTTTTCTCTTTTTCCCCGTCTCAAATTGGGTTCTGGAATGTGATTCTTATTGAAATTGGATGTTCAATTTATGTGCCTCTTTGACTCCAGGGTCAATTGTGCTGCTGGTGGTGTTCATTGCGTGCTTTTACATATACCGCTACTTCAAAGAGAAAGGAGACGATCAAGTGAGATTGGAAAAGTTTTTGGAGGATTATGAGGTGCACAAACCTACTAGATTTTCTTACGCTGATCTGAAAAGAATCACAAATCATTTCAAGGATAAATTAGGTGAAGGAGCTCATGGAGAAGTTTTTAAAGGCAAGCTATCAACCGAAATCCAGGTAGCTGTAAAAGTACTCAATAATTCAGGGTGCGATGGCCAAGACTTCATCAATGAGGTGGGGACTATGGGCAGAATTCATCACATAAATATTGTTCGTTTGCTTGGCTTCTGTGCTGATGGTTCTCGTCGTGCTCTTGTTTATGATTTCTTTCCTAATGGTTCACTCCAAAAGTTCATATCTTCACCAGACAACAAAGAAAATTTCCTTGGATGGTTGAAGTTGCAACAATTAGCTCTTGCCATAGCCAAAGGGATTGAATATCTTCATCAAGGCTGTGATTACCGAATTCTCCACTTTGACATTAATCCTCGTAATGTGTTGTTAGATGACAATTTTATTCCGAAAATTTCTGATTTTGGTCTAGCCAAGTTGTGTTCTAAAAATCAAAGTACAGTGTCAATGACAGCAGCTAGAGGAACTTTAGGCTACATTGCACCTGAAGTCTTCTCTCGAAATTTTGGAAATGTGTCATATAAAGCAGATATTTACGGTTATGGAATGCTACTTCTAGAAATGGTTGGTGGGAGGAAAAATGTTGACACAAATCCAGGAACCTTTCAAGTGTTATATCCAGAATGGATCCATAGTTTGATTGAAGGAGGTGACATAAGTATCTACATCGAAGATGAAGGTGATGTTAAAATTGCAAGGAAACTAGCAATTGTGGGGCTTTGGTGCATTCAGTGGCATCCAATAGATCGTCCATCGATGAAAACTGTAATACAAATGTTGGAAGGAGAGGTTGATAAATTAAGGGTGCCTCCTTCTCCATTTGACTTTGCTACTTCAACTAATACGAGTGTCGTTATTCCTACGAGACGTTTGAATTTAGAGTTAGAAGTGATTCATGAATTCGAATAAATACTTGGGTGTGCATGAATATATATAATTTTACTTTTATTGAGAGTATTTTGTGAGATTTGTAATATTAGTTTCATGTTTATCCATAGATGAATCCAATTATTATCTATTCCCATTCCATGTGCAAACTGATGCTTTTTGTTTAGCATATCATAGTAGTTTATGTATAACATTTTGTCATATTAATGTAGTGTAATAAAGTAGAGAAGTCTTGTTCACATGAAGATATTAAAATTAATATATCGCGCTATAAGCTGTCCCAATTACCTGATAATGCTCAAATTTGACCCGATCGGATAGCCATATTTAAAAAAAAAAGTCAAATATGTCAAATATAAAGTACTCTAATTGTGAACACATTTTTTAATAAAAATTTAAACCTTAATTTATGACATTACGATGGATTAGTTTCTTCAATTAGAATTAATCGGCATATTAAAAAGAGATGATTTGGTGTGAGTAACAATTCAAATGTGAAATGAAATATTTCTAATTGCAATAATTTCGTGTGTAAACTTTTTTTGAAAGAAAAATACAAACTTATGAATTTTCATTCTCTCTACCTCTAAAGTTGACTTGTAGAACTTGAGTTTTGGTTTTCATTTAAGGAGATATTTGGGAAGCTGTAAAAGTACTTCTCAAAAGTATTTTTTTCACAAATCGAAATAAGTTCCTCCACATATTTACTTCGTATACTGTAAAATTACTTTTAAAACTATAATTTCGTTTCTATCCAAATACCCCTAAGAAGGGAAGAACCTCTAGACTTGCAAAGTAAGTTAGAAAGGGATTGAAAAAAAAAAAACTTTAAAAGTTACTGTACTTTGGAGAAAACCTTCACACTAGACAACGACGTGGAAAACAACTCTCCCTAATTTTCCACGTGATATTGACAATTGATTGAAAATTCAACCGAATTAAATGAACACGTTAGAATTGTATAGCTAGTTGGATGATAAAGTCAAAAAAAATGATAGGAAGAAAATTAAAAGAAGAAGAAGAAAAAAAAAACGAAGGTGTAATTTTAATTCTTTTAACCACGATTTTTTAGTAGTGTAATTTTACTCCTAATCTTTTTTTTTTTGCATAATTTTACTCTTAATCTTTTTTTTGGTATAACTTTACTTCTCATCTTTAGGTGCACCAAAAAAATCAAGGATAAAATTATACCCCTAAAAAGATCATGGTTAAAATTATATCTGAAAAATAAAATCAGAATTAAAATTGCACCTTCATTTATGTAAGTTAAGACATTCCTCTCATATGTTTATCTTAAACTATGTAAAATTATTTTTAAAATTATGATTTAATTTTTATCTAAATACTCCGTAAATTTAGAAACCTATTTCCATTGGGATACGTATTCTACACGGAGTGCGGAAATTTTGACATAATTGTGTTCATCGCCCTCATCCAATATCATGACTTTTTTTATGGATTCCAATTTTATTTACATTTCTTGTTAAAGATCATGATTTTTTTTTTTTAAATTTCTAGCTTGACTCACAACTCTTATGAGCGTATTTAGAAGGGCAGAAAATTTTTGAAAAAATTACACTCAGATCCCACAAAAGACAATTAATTTATAAAAAATTTCTTAAAATCCCAAAATGATTCCTAAGTCCCCAAGGACTGTGTGTAATAAATTACAATTGTGAAATTACCTATTTACCTCTATTAATTTAAACCCAATTCAATTCATTTACAACCTTAACAGTGGCTGTTGACAACCCGAGAAGAAGTGGTTAACAACCTTAGCAATGCTCCTGGTATCCCACGGAGTGAGTTGTTAGGGATACTGCGAGGTTGTTAATCACTTCTCCTCGGGTTATCAACAGCCACCATTGAGGTTGTAAATGGATTGCTGCAATAAAAATTAATAGGGGTAAATAGGTAATTTCACAATTACAATTTATTATATATAGGTCTCTAGGGACTTAAGAATCATTTCCGGATTTTCAGAGATTTTTTGTGAATTAGTTATTTTTGCGGGACCTGTGTATAATTTTGCCAAAACTTTTCAACGAACTGTCACTATCATGTTGTCTATCTCATTTAATTTCTAACTTACTCTATTTTGTAGGCCTAGACGTCTCTTGTTTGAGGGTCGAGTATCCTACACACGACTTGGAAAGCTTGGCATATTATTTATATTCTCTTTGTTGTCCGGTATCATAAATTCTTGTGCCCCCAAGTTTTACGTAATATTATGGTCCCCTTGTAACTTATAATTATTGAGGTCACATCTTGGATGCCACAAGTTTTTAGTTTTCCACCAAAGTATACCTAGGTGATATAAAATATATATATAGTATTTTTTTCCAGCATACATAGTACATCATTATGAGCCTTGCGTTAGGAAGCCTGTGAGATTTATAAATTTAAGTGGATTTTCCTCTTAATATGTTAGTCTTTTAAGATTAAGCCTCATCACATGTATGAAAAAATATAATATATAATTATATAAAGCATATATTTATATGTGTGCTTTATATATATAATTTTTACTTTTGTTGAGAATAATCTGAAAGATTTGTAATGTAAGATTTCAAGTTCATTCCATAAATGAATCCTTTAATTATCCATGTGGCCGCTTATGTTTTCTGTTTGGCATGGTAATATTTTTCAGATCAGTGTCAAATTAGAGTAATTGATAAAATTATTGTCTGCGGTAAGATTTCTTTCTCTTTTCCTCTTCTTTAACTTTTCGCCATATGTTAGGAGTTTCGGATGATTTGAATCTTAGAATCATTTACCCAGAGGCTTCATCTTTTGAATTGAGTAATAATATAAATAGATACAACACAATTCGTATGACGTCGCATTATTTAAAAACTATAAATAGTGCCACTACTCATTTCTTTAAATTCAGTGTAATTAATGCTTAAGGTCTTACTCAAATAATCAAGTAGAAACTTATGCATAAAACACACAAGAGCATAATTCACACAAAGTTTTGGTGAGTTGGATTTGGAACTCACTAAGATCAGAGCATGCCTTTTGATTCATATATTTATGAATTGTCTTTGTCCGGTGTCATAAATTCTTGTGCCCCCAAATTTTGTGGGATCTGATGGCCCCTTTTTGACCTATTTTATGCTCTTTCCTTCCGAAATATGAAAATTAGCTAAGAAGTCAATTTTAACTCTAAATATAAGATTTTAATTTATTTTATTTTTTATATTTATTATTTTTAAATTAATTTATCTCACTTACAAATTAATATATATAATCTAATATTTCACTAAAAGTATTTTAGAGAAATCATCTTATATTTATTATATTTAACTAATTTATCTAGTTTTCTTAATGTATTCCATTTCCAAATTAACTACGGCGCCATCTTGTAGGCCACAAGCTTTCCGCCAAATGTTGCTATATAAATGTGGAAAACTAGAGACATTTATCTCCATTCGTCATTACTTAAAAAGAGTTGTAGGTTTTTCCATGCATTTTAATTTCAAGAGATATTATAATCCATTTCTAACATGACTTAAAATTATTGAAGTCTATTTTTTGTTGGGATGAGTATTGTGTGGGTAATATGGAAAACTTCGTGTGTTTCTTTCCACCGGTGCAAATGCTAATTATATTTTTTCAAATGTGAATGCACATTCCAGAAAACATGTGAATTGGAGACAATTATTTTCCATATCGCTGTCAAATGTGAATGCTTTTTCCAAAGTCCAATAACTTCTTAATTTCCATCTCTTTCTAGCTAAGGAGTATTTTGCACGTCTCTAGATGTTTTTCGATTGTGGCTGAAAATTCATTTGAGTTATTTTTTATTCTTTAACAAAAGATTACAAATTAAATGTAATTGTTCGAATTGAAGAAAACATTTTGTTTCACATTTGAATTGTCATTCACGCCAAGTTATCATCAGTGGTGTTGACTATTGATTTTGGCAAAGGACTTCCCTGTAGATTCTGAGAAACATGGGACCCGAAAATATTGTTTAGATTTTTTGGCTCATTTAATTTTAAGATCGGGCTTACAAAATAAATCATAAAAAAATGTTACTCCTCCTGTCCTATATATAATACCATTATACTAGTGTGTGTAAGGGTCTTATATTTAAAACCGGAGGAGTAATTTATACGTTTAATCTTCTAAATTTTGGCAAAAATTCAGTTAATCTCTCAAGTTTAAAAATGTAGTTTTTGTTCCTGTATGTTAACAAAATTAGTTTCATTTAACAGCGAATTCTACTCAACGAATTTAAATGATCACTCCAAATTTAAATGCTAGCAAAACGCGTTGCAATTTTTAATCTTTTAATATAATTATTTTTATAAATGATTAAATGTTTAATATTTTAGTATTTTTCATATTTGTCAAACATCTAATCATTCAAATGCTTAAATTTAAAGATATAAAAGTTTTAGGTTACAGAATTAAAATTTAAACCATAACTTGTCAACATTTAATTGCAAAGTCATCATTTAAATTTGTTAATAAAGCAAAACTAAATATTTAATTAAGAGAAAGAAACCCATAGGTACCAAATTAAAAATTAAAAAGAAGTATAGGTACATCCAATATGGTTTTTATTATTTTTTATTTTTATCCCTATTTAATATATACACATTTCAAAGAAATAATTATCTATACTATAATAAATGAAAGACAAAATAGTATATTCATACTAAAAATATAATGGGGTAGTTTATAAATAGGATCAAGAAAAACCTTCTATCTCTACTTTATAAATAGGATCAGAATAGCATATAACATCAGTTTTATTACGTCTTTAAAAAAAATTACAAACGAAATTGTTGGAAATGAAAGTATGTCATTTCACATTTGAATTGTTATTCACGCCAAATTGTCTGGGACGATGGTATAGACTTTGGCCAAGAATCTCCCCTTACATTCCAGAAAACATGTGAATTGGAGACAATTGTTTTCCATGTTGCTGTCAAATGTGAATGTTTCTTCCAAAGTCCATTAACTTCTCGACTTCCAGCTCTATCTAGCTTAGGAGTATTTTGCACGTCTAGATGTTTTTCAATCGAGGCTGAAAATTCGTTTGAGTTCCTTTTTTTCCCTTTAACAAAAGATTAAAAATTAAATGTAATTGTTCAAATTGATGAAAACACTTTGTTTCATATTTTAAT